CGAGATTGACTATTTTTTTATTAGAAAATTAAATCGTTTAGATTGTAAAAATTGTAAAGTTATTCAGAGTGAAAATTTATGTACCCAACATCGATTATTAATTTTGGACTTTAAGATAAAGGGTCATAAAATAAAAAATAAAGTAAAACATTTTTCTAAGATTAGATGGTGGCATTTAAAGAATATTAACAAAAATATTTTTTAGAGTAATATTTTAGATCTTAAGATTTTGTTTGTGCATAAGGATGCTAATGTTATGTGGGAACAAGTGGCTAGTGATATTAAGAATATTGCAAAAGATGCACTTGGAGTATCAAAGGGAAAAACTCCTAATAGTAAAAATAGTTGGTGGTGGAATCCAATTATGCAAGAAAAGATTAAAAATAAGAAGATTTGTTATAAAAATTATTTTAATTTTAAAAATTCTGATAATTGGAAAATATATAAAGTGGCTCGTAGGATGCTAAAAAAAGCAATATGCGATGCAAAGACATTAGCTTTTAGCGATTTATATAATAGATTAAATACTAAGGAGGGAGAAAGATATATGTATAAGTTAGCCAAGGAAAGAGATAGGAGTAGTACGGATTTAGTTCAGGTGAAGTGTATTAAGGATGACGATCAAAAAATACTTTTCTTAGAAGATGATATTCAACAAAGGTGGATGAGATTTTTTTACTAAACTTTTTAATGAAGATTGTGAAAATAAGATTGACTATAGTGACCTTAGCACCCTAAATGATAATAAAGATTTATGTTTTTATCGGTGTATTAGTAAAGCTAAAGTTAGAGAGGCTTTAAAGAAAATGAAGGGTGGTAAAGCTGTTGGACCTGATGATATTCCAATAGAGGTGTGGAAATGCTTAGGAGATGAAGGAATTTCTTGGATTAATAAACTTTTTAATACTATTTTGAAGACTAAAAAGATGCCAAATGAGTGGAGAATGAGTGTGTTAATTCCTATTTTTAAGAATAAAGGTGATGCACAAGATTGTACGAATTATAGAGGTATTAAGTTAATGTGTCATACTTTAAAACTATGGGAGCGAGTTATGGAGCATAAGTTGCAGCGTGATACTAATGTTTCTCAAAATCAATTTGGATTCATGCCGGGTAGGTCAACTATGGAAGCCATACATTTATTAAGAGGTTTGATGGAGAAATATAGAGAAAATAAGGAGGATCTACTTATGATATTTATTGATTTAGAAAAAGCATATGATAAAGTTCCAAGAGAAGTGTTATGGAGAGTTTTTGAAAAGAAAGAAGTCAATAATGCTTATATTCAAATCATTAAAGATATGTATGCATGAGCTATTACTTGTGTTCAAACACAAGGTGGTTTGACCAAGTATTTCCCTATTTTGATTGGGTTACATCAAGGATCAGCCTTAAGCCCATATCTTTTTTGCTTTAGTCATGAATGTTCTCACTAGACATTTGCAAGAGGATGTACCTTGGTGTATGCTTTTTGCTGATGATATTCTTCTTGTTGATAAGACTAGAGAGGGAGTTGAAGGTAAACTTGAATTATGGAGGTCAACCTTAGAGTCTAAAGGTTTTCGCTTGAGTAGATCTAAAACGGAATATATGGAGTATAATTTTAGTAGTAATAGACCTAGTGAGGGGATTGTGACTTTGGGCGATCAAGTCATTAATAAGAGTACACGTTTTAGATATCTTGGATCTATTGTTCAGAGTGATGGTGAAATAGATGGGGATATTATCAGCAGAATTCAAGTTGGATGGTTGAAGTGGAGGAATGCATCGGGCTTGTTATGTGATAGAAATGTACCCCTCAAACTTAAGGGAAAATTCTATAAGATGGTAGTGAGGCCTGCAATGCTTTATGGTGCCGAATGTTGGCCATTAAAAGAGAAGCATAATACTAAGTTAAGTGTGACAGAGATGAGGATGCTCAGGTGGATGAGTGGCTTTACCCTTAGAGATAGGATACAAAATGAGCATATACGTGAAAAGGTTGGAGTAGCTCCAGTAGAAGATAAAATTAGAGAGAGTCGCCTTAGATGGTTTGGTCACATAAAAAGGCGGCCTTCCGACGACCCAGTTAAGAGAGTAGAGGTATTAGATTTGACTTGTGTTAAGAAAGGTAGGGGTAGACCTAAAAAGACTTGGTTAGAAAATATTAGGAATGACCTTTCTTTATTAGATTTAAACGAGAATTTGACTTTTAATAGGACACAATGGAGAAAAAAGATTCATGTAGCCGACCCCACGTAGTGGGATAAAGGCTTGATGTTGTTGTTGTTGTATGAAGAATATATATATATATATATATATATATATATATATATATATATCCCATAAACTATTTTCTCTTATTCATAAATTATTTAGAAGAATATTATAAATATTCATCTACCTTTCATTGAACCCATGAAGATGAAAAATTTTCCATCTCTTGAGGTGATACATTTTATTTCTTCTCATGTTGCATCGTTTGAAGCTAATAATTGACAAAAAGATCACACAATATGTGAGATCTTAAGCCTTGTTTTGTAGATTATAACTAGGGGTGTCAATATTGGACCCGACCCGAAAATTTCGGGTTTGGGTTGACCTTAACCCGAAACGGGTCGGGTTCGGGTTCAATAATTCGACCCTTTCAAAAATTGGGTGAGGTTCGGGTTGACCTGTCAACCTGAAATTGACCCGAAAATGACCCGTTTTTGACCCGGGAACCCGAGATTGACCCGTTCTTGACCCAACAATCAGAGTTTGTCCCCTTTTTGGACCCGAAAACTAGCAGTTTTTTGTCTGAATCGGGTCATTCGGGTCGGGTCAGGTTGACCCGAACCCGAAGCGGGACGGGTTTGGGTCCGGAAAACCGACCCGTTTGCAAAAACGGTCGGGTTCGGGTTGACCCGAATAGTACCGGGTCAATTTCGGGTTCGACCCGAACCCGACCCGTGACCCGAAATTGACACCCCTAAATTAACATTACTACATTGTAGATGCCATAATTGATGTCCCTACTTATAATGTTTCTATCGATAATAGTAATAAAAAAGAAGCATTAATATTTTAACTAAAAACAAATTCCTAGCATAACATTTCATTTCACTTGACTCGTAGTCACCAATCGTGTTCGGATTTGGTGGAACTCTCACCTCTAGGAATGGGTTCCTAAACACCTATTGGGCAATTTTAGAAATTACTCCGCAAAAAATTTTATCCTTTATTGCATGAAAGAAAGATGAAGGTGCACGAGTTATGCTACAGATAAGACGAGTATGTAAGATCACCTTCGAATAGTTCAAGAAAGCATCATCTTTTATCTTTGTATTTTCCATAGTTGCTAGGTAATAACAGTTTTTTTAGGGGCTGGCTATTTGGATGAAAAATGTTAGTGCGTAAAAAAGAATATATTGTATTTGAAATGTTTGGAGTTGTTTGGATGAACATAAGTTACTGTGCAAAGTCCAATAATACCGGTAGCCAGAATACTCACTAAATACACAATAAATACGCAAAAAATACGTAGAAAAAATTAAATACACAAAAAATACGCAACAAATAAGCAGTAAATACGCAGCATCCGAACCTATCCCTGCGTTCAGACTGCGTACAGAATAATTTCTCCTAGGAATGGGTTCCTAAACACCTATTGTGCAATTTTAGAAATTACTCCGCAAAAAAATTTATTCTTTATTGCATGAAAGAAAGATGAAGGTGCACGAGTTATGCTACAGATAAGACGAGTATGTAAAATTACCTTCGAATAGTTCAAGAAAGCATCATCTTTTGTCTTTGTATTTTGCATAGTTGCTAGGTAATAACAGTTTTTTTAGGGGCTGGCTATTTGGATGAAAAATGTTAGTGTAAAATGTAATATAGCGTAAAAAAGAATATATTGTATTTGAAATGTTTGGAGTTGTTTGAATGAACATAAGTTACAGTGCAAAGTCCAATAATACCGGTAGCCAGTAGCCAACAATGACGATGGTGGTCGATAGTAAATAATGATATAGAAAATCAACGATAGTTGTGTCAGCAGGGGGCGAGGGCGGTCAGTGATGTGAGACTAGGGGTGCAAACGAATCGAGTTGAGCTCAAGCAAGGGATGTTTGAGTCGAGCTCGGCAATCAAAACCCGAGCTTGAGTTCGAGTTCAAAATCCGAGCTCGAGCTCGACTTGTCATCATGTCGAGCGGCTCGTCGAGCTCCGTTGTCAAGCCGGTCGTCGCATCCGTCATCTCGAGACCCGAGTTCCGCCCTCGTCGTCGCGCCAGTCGTCATCCAGCTTGTCCGCCGTCATCCAATCACTGCCGTCGCGATTCGTCTCCCGGACTCGTAGCATCCGCCGTCGAGAACTGACATCTCGAGGTCCAATGAGCTATGTTGTCGAGATTAATCGTCCTGAGCTCGCAGTCGCATTCTCCCGCTGTCTCGAGCTCATCCGTCGTCGATCCGCGCGTGCTCTGTCGTTGTTTTGGATTTTCCGCTATCGAGATTTTGATTTCTCGCCCGCGAGCTCCGCCATCGAGCTGCTCGTCGAGCCGACGAGTCGAGTCCGACGTATGTTCAAGCTCAAGCTTGATTAGCCGTCGAGCTCGACTCACGAGCTTGATAAGCTCGACTCGTCGAGCCTGTTACCAAGTCGAGTCCAAACTGACTTATGAGTCAGTTTGACTCGGTTGCACCCCTATGTGAGGCAGGCGAGAGTAGTGACAACACTGGCCTGAATAAATTTCTGACTTCACCAGAAATAATAAATTTTTAATTCGAATGTAATGCTTCATTTTATAATTTTGATTAAATAATTTTTTTTTTCATAATTTGTTTTACACTTAGGATAACCTCGATTTTTCCATGATTTGAAGCATAATAATCTTATCGAACACGCTTAGAAATTTAAGGCGGTGCGTTGGCTGGTTAAAGTTGTAGAAAAACACATCATCAAATCATATTTACACAACGTGTCTATCTAAATTATCCAATTGTGACGGCTATTACATATAACGTCACCCAGTGCCAGAGAGTTCGCAGCAGCTAGTCTTACTGTCCGTAAATCAAAAGACGGTAACGGTTTTCGTCATTTAGGTCTATTTTCCAGCGAAGGATAAAGCCGAAGGGCCCTCGTCTCGGTCTCCGAATCTTTAGTTTAGGGTTGAGATCGGAAGGCAAATTTCGCTCGCAATTAGGGCTGTGTTTCGCCTAATTTCCTAGATCTACTCCATTTCACCGCCCGAATCAAGCGATTGGGCTAGGGTTTCTTGATTTGCTGATCTTTTTAGGGTTTCTTTGCTAGGAATCATGAACGATCCGTCGCAGATGCTGAGCCGGACTTTCGGGATGTGGCAGCAGCAGCCGCAGCAGCAGCAACAGCCGCAACCGCAGGCACCACTGCCGCCACTTCCGCCGCAGTCGGCGGCGTCCTCCGTGACGGACGAGCCGATGGGGTTTCAAAACTCTAGGCCGGTGTTCGCGCACACCGGAGCGAAACCAGGAAGAGCTAACTGGAACAACAACAAGCGGAAGCAGGCTTCGGCCCCTGCTGGAGCTGGTTCTGTCGGTGCTGGTCCAGGTGTTTTACCCTCCATGGGCGCCGCCACCGGCATTTCCGGGTACAAACCCCCGACGTTAACTGAGTTACAGTATCAGAACCGTCTGAAGGCTAGGCGCTTCTACCCAAAAAAGAAATTTAGTCGTTTTGCCCCATTTGCCCCGCGAAACACCACATCTTTCATCATTCGTGCCAAAAAATCGGGCGGGATTGCGTCTTTGGTATCGCCTTGTCCTGTGACGCCAGCGATCCTCCCCACACCAACCTTCTCCCCTTCCAGAGAGGGATTGGTTGATATGGCTAAGGAAGAGTGGGGCGTCGATGGATATGGATCCATGAAGGGTTTGATTCGGCTTCGTTCGCCAACTGCTGGCGGCAGCCGGAGTAAAGGTGGGGCTGAAGAGGATGATGATGTCGAGGATGGTTCAAGCGAGAGTGATGTGGAGGAGCATGTGGAGGTAGAGAGGAGGCTCGACCACGACCTCAGTCGATTTGAGATAGTCTACCCGAGCTACGGGGAAGAGCAAGGAGGCGCTACTTCTGCAGCTTACTTATTAGAAAACAGAGTGGATGATCAGGACACTCACATTGCTCAGCTGGAAGAGGAGAACCTCACTCTCAAAGAAAGGCTTTTCTTAATGGAGAGGGAGATGGGTGAGCTTAGAAGAAGACTGATGCTTTTGGAGACCGACTACAGATTACACAATGAGAGGAATAACAACAACAATGAACAACATGCCGATCAGGACGATAATTTAAATGCGAAGGAGGAGACATCGGAGAATGATGGAGGAGGAGATCTGTGTTCGGAGAAAAGTGTTGGAGACTGCGAGGAGAGCTGTGGAATTCCCCTGCAAGAGTAAAGGGAGTAAATTTAACCCCCCTTAATGTACATATTGCACCTTGTCTTACAAACTTTTCCTGCCTTAATATGTGTTTTTCTTATCCTTCGCTTTTGATGGCTAGTGTTAGACTGGTTATATGTAGTGATATCTCATAACGAGTAGCTCATGCAAAGGTAAAAAATAATGTCTTTTTCTTATCATCTTTTACCATCATGGATAGACTGCTCGCCATTGGTATCTAATATCAAAAAGCTTCTAAGGCCACGCTAATGGAACCTTTAACTATTAATGCATATTTGTCATTAAGCAATTCAACTTGGCAAGTTATATAACGCATGGCAATGGTCTCAAGTTCTTAGATGGTTAGTAGAACGCCATGAAAGTACTAATGTGTTCTCCTAACAGGATTTAGTGGTTTTTTTCCTTGAGAAATCTAATAAACCATAGGTTGTTTTGTTATGTTTCTATTTGTTAATTGTTATGCTCTGCTTGCATGTTTATTTACTATTGTTTGTGCTAAAAACTTCTTCTTTGTTATGCATGTCAGTGTGTTCCTATCATGCAGCTCTATGTCTTTTGGTATTACTTGGAAGTCTGATCATTATTGTTGATCTATGTTGAAGCTTGATGTTTTTCATGCAAAACATATTTTTATATTTTGTGAATTAATGCGACTATTTTGATGGGTTGAATTAAATTTTATAAATTTTGCGCATTCCATTAGGTTTGATTCAAGTTTTCTGTTCGCATTTCTACAACAACAACATCAAGCCTTTATCCCACTACGTGGGGTTGGCTACATGAATCTTTTTTCTCCATTGTGTCCTATTAAAAGTCAAATTCTTGTTTAAATCTAATAAAGAAAGGTCATTCCTAATATTTTCTAACCAAGTATTTTTAGGTATGCCTCTACCTTTCTTAACATAAGTCAAATCTAATATCTCTACTCTCCTAATCGGGTCATCAGAAGGCCGCCGTTTTATGTGACCAAACTATCTAAGGCGACTCTCTCTAATCTTATCTTCTACTGGAGTTACTCCAACCTTTTCACGTATATGCTCATTTCGTATCCTATTTCTAAGGGTAAAGCCACTCATCCACCTGAGCATCCTCATCTCTGCCACACTAAACTCAGTATTATGCTTGTCTTTTAATGGCCAACATTCGGCACCATAAAGCATTGCAGGCCTCACCACCATCTTATAGAATTTTTTCTTAAGTTTGAGGGGTACTTTTCTATCACACAACAACTCCGATGCATTCCTCCACTTTAACCATCCAACTTGAATTCTGCTGATAATATCCCCATCAATTTCACCATCACTCTGAACAATAGATCCAAGATATCTAAAATGTGAACTCTTATTAATGAAATAATCTCTCAAAGTCAATAGATCCAAGATATAATATAAATATATTATTTTGTGTTGTTTGGTTCGTCAAATCACGTTCCCAATAACTCTTTTTTTTTTTTTTTTTCATTTTTCTTCAGTTTTGAGAAAGCTTTTTATATATGCTTCTCCGTTAGAGAACTCCATTTTCTAAACTAATGTTTTTTAAAACTGTCTTTTACAAAAGCACAAAAAAAAACAAACGAAGCCTTAGTGTCTACTGGGAAGTAAACCAGTGCGTTTTTCAAATTTTGGCGTTTGGTTCTGCGTAAAATAAATGAACATTAAAAATGTAAAGCATTTCGAAGTCATTCTACGGTGTATTTGGAACCCGATAAAATCGAGCTTGTTTAAAATACCCATCTCTTTTATGGCGCGAAATAAATCGAAACCCCAGCTGTGTGTCTAGCAATCGCAGCAGCATCTTCCTTCCCCTTGCGAAGGAATTTTTATTAGATCCGGACACCTGACGTAGCTTTACATTTAGATGCCAATAACATGTTGTCACTTGTTCTTACTCTTTACTGCGCTGCCCGACGATCCGACCCGAACCGGAACCCGGTATTGCTATGTTCGTGTATTGCTAAGTATTGTTTGGTATTGCTAGATGTTCGGTATTGCTAGGTATTGCTTGACAGTAACGAGAAATACCGCTCTGTCAAGACCAATACCAAGCAATACCTAGCAAAATTAGGGTATTGTTCAGTATTGCTCGGTATTGCAGGCATTGATCTTGATAGAATGATATTTCTCATTACCGAGCAATACCGAGCAAAACTTAGCAATACCCTTGTCTGCACAAATCAGCTAATACATAGCAATACCAGGTTATGGTCCGGGTCGGGTCGTCGGGCTACGCGGTAAAGAGTAAGAGCACGTGGCGACATTTTATTGGAGTCCGGATGTAGAGCTACGTCAGGTGTCCGGACCTAATAAAAATTCCTTGCGAAGCCTTCTCGTCGACTTTTCATGAAATCGAGCGCCTTGATGATCTTCCTAGCCCGTATCAAGTGCCTGTTGATGATCTTCACACCCTTAAGTGTCTCGCCTTTGACACTTCCTCTTCCCTCCGATTAATTATTTTATGCGGTCATCGGACAGCGCCTAGAGACGAATGAGAGCGTGTCACGTAATTTTTGTGTGTGTACCATTTGGTATCGAGTAATGTGGCATGCTCTCATTCATTTCCGAACGATCCGATTATCACACACAATAATTTCTCCTTCCCTCCATTGCTGATATGGAGGGACAGAGAATTCTGCAGAAACTGTTTGATTTGAAGATATTGTTAGAATGGAAATGAAAGGGATACGATAATGGAAGTAGTAAAAGAATAGAATTGATAGTTGCTTAGCCTCATTTGTTTGATTTATTGAAAATTTTGTCACAATAAAAAAATTTTGATTGATTTCTCAACTCGTTGCACACAAATCTATTATTTTAGTATGATACATTCTTCATTCATTTGTACTTCTTATATGTTTTATTTGTTTTAAATGATTTTTGGTATATTTAGAATAATGTATCATTCACAAGCAAATAAATGAAAAAATGTTCGCTGAGCTCATGACTAAGCTTTCAAGTATACCTGACTTTTTGAAGGAAGAGATTGATACGATATATGACAACTTATCGAAGAATCCTATAATGATACAATCAGTCCTCTCAAACTTATAGAATCAAAGACTAGATGGATGTGTAAAGAGCTAGGGAAATGACTTATGTTGTGGAAAATGTTAGAACTTTGATTAGTAATTGCTAGATATTTTTGGAGTTGTTTTATATTACATATATAAACATTTTTAGTTGTGGCATCTTCAAATGTATTTTGTATTAATGAAAAATTAATGGTAATGTTGAATATGTTTGTAGCAATATTAAATTTACTCTATGTATAAATGCTCATTTTCAAGTGTCTTGTCTATTTTGAAGTGCTCTAATATATGAAAGTTTAATATTATTCACATAATAAATATCTTATGTTAAAATATTGAATAGTATTATTGTCATTTTATTTCAATAGTATAGTACACTTGATATTGCAGATTATACCAAATAGCACAAAAGTATTCTAAATAATTTGCTTTTAGTTTACACTGCATATACCTCATGAAATAAGAAAATTAGTTTTACTGCATTTACTTTACAGACAATCAAACAGCTCTAAAGTATTCCAAATATATTGCATTAATTTTCTGGCAACCAAATAGCCCCTTTGAAAGAAAAAAATGACAATGGTTCATTTTGATTTTATATCAACTGATTTATGTATCCTTTAAACTAGAGAAATGTTATGTCACAAAAAATTGCCTTGATTGGGCACAAATCTCAAGGTATATTCAAATTGGAAACTTTTAAAATTAAATTTGGGACCATATAAACTCCAATTTTAGCAAGTTTATAGTCAAACTAAATGTCTCGAAGAGATGAACCCGATGACACAAAAATTGGTCCAATATGAGTCCAAATGGGTTCAAACCTAGGGACAAAAGCGTATTTGAAAGGTTCAAAGCATTAATTAGATGACAAAATGATTTCCATATATGACATGCTTATAGTCTAATTGAACGGCTTGATGAGACGAATCCAACGAGCCCAGGATCGCTTGATCTAACATTATTATGACACTTAAATGATTGATGAACACTATATGATCAAGGAAATCGATCTGAGCCGTCTGCTATATTACTCAAAATTTGTAATGGATCTTCTCCATTTTTATAAAACATGCTACTCCCACAAATCTATAAGTAAAGTCTCACTTCCCACATGAAAATGAGGCTTGGACTCTTGGAGGAGGCAAGACCTTTAGTTGGAGATTAGAGAGAGCTCTGAGGCTTCAAAGATCTAGCTCCCTACTCAAGCATCATCACCGACAAACTTTCCTTGATTGTCGTTGAACCATCGCCTGGTTATCGACCACCGCCAGACCACTAACCACCGACCATTGTCGGACTTCCACCCGGTCGCCGATTGTTACCATATTTTCACCCATCCATTATTGGACCATCGCTTGGCCATCATCACCCACCGACTAAGGTCACTCCGGCCATATATGTCCGCCAACTACAGTCTCTCCAACCATCGTTACTCGCCAACTACGGTCCTTCTGACCACTATTGCTCGTCGATTACGGACCCTCTGGCCATCATCACCCACCGACTAAGGTCCCTCCGGTCATATATGCCCGCCAACTACAGTCTCTCCAACCATCGTCACTCGCTAACTACGGTCCTTCTGACCACTATTGCTCGTCGACTACGGACCCTCTGAGCTCCATCGCCCACCGACTACAGTCCCACCGACCACTATCGCACTACGGTCCACCCCCCCAATCTCTGATGCTGCATACTACAGTTCCTCCCACCATCATCGCTCGCCATTACGGTCCCTTCGACCACCATTGCCTATCGACTACGATCCCTCTGAGCAACTACTTAGAAATATCCTCACCGACTAAGGTCCCTGCCACTCCAAGAGAGTGTATACATGTACTTAGAAATATCCTCGCCGCACTACGAGAGCAAATATATCAGATAAAATGCGTCTTCAGAGGCTACCTGCTTCGTCGTACACGTCGCACTGGGCTTCCTCTTACCATACTACGAAAGCACAAATATGGAGTTTTCCGGCTTGACGCAAACACCGAGTGCAGGGTTTTGAGTTGAGAACGTTATTCCTGTGCGGGGATCAGATGTGACGACATTGATGATGATAAAAAAATCCAAAATATCTCTTTTTTTGAATTTTTTCCTTTCCCTTTTTTTTAACTCTTTTCTTCTCTTTTTTTTTTCTCCTTTTCTTCTTCT